ACAGCTGACAGGAGCACTATTTTGGTCCAGTTATACATAGTATGTACACACATAAATGTCACAGCGCAATTATTCAAGGATCGAAGTTGGGCGTGGGCAGACATCGACTCTTCAATAGGCCTTCCAGTAACTGGTGCCGGCAAAAAAACGCTGTTAGTTTACAATACACTCCTGTTCCATTGGAATACAAAATGGAGTTCGAGGAGGTTCCAAACGGACGAGAAAGGTGTATGCCCCAGGGTGTTTCAGTATTTAGTTGTGAGGATCTATATTACACTGTTCGGAATGCGTTTGTAATACGACGAATTTCTTGAACGGGCAGTTCATCTTTTTCGATACAACAATCCAACACATATTCCCATAATTAAAAATAATAATAATTCTGTATTGCACAACTGTATTATATTTATTAGCATGTTAGTTCACTCGCTCAGTCATACCCTGTGAGAAGCTCGAATCAGCATATTCGGACAACTTCATGCCTATTTAAGGGGCCGGGTGCTTATACTTCGTGACTTGGCGGATGACATGTCGATTGATTGAATCCGAGGTTTGCCTTGTCCAGATTCGATTAATTACAGGTCTCCGTGTTTTAGCTGGAATACTGAACATAATTTTCAGGGTTGTTAAGAACATGTTAATCATCAATGTGATGAAACGTAGAACTTACGGTCATAATTTTTTAATATTTGAGTACATCCTTTGATATCCGATGTTTTGAATCGCATGTGTTATCTTATATGAGTAGACATCAAACAGAACTTTGTAACATACAGCTGGAATGATGTTGATAATAAAATATTTACAACGACGCTAATAACCAAACTTTGGACTCATTGTTTTGTTTTTTTCATCTTGTGCATTTTGAATGACAGCACATTGGAGTTCAGAGTTACACTCGTGTAACACTGATAGGGGGCACAGGTGGCCCAGTCGTCCAAGGCGCCGCGATTCGCTGTGCAGAGTTGCCTCCCTTGGACACGCTAGAAACCTATGATTGTGGGTTCGAATCCCGGTTCGCCCCAATTATGTTTCTAGGTTTGTCAGCACCTACCCGTGCTCGTGGGTTTCACCGAAGTGGTAAACGCCTGAGACCTGCATCACTTCGGGCTTTCCTCCCATATTAAGCTGACACGCCGTGATATAACTGGAATATTGTTAAAAGCGGCGTTAAACCCAACTCACTCACTCACTCACTCACTCACTCACTGTAACACTGATAACATGCGCTATAGAGCGCTGATCCAAGATAACACCTCTACTAAATCTGTAGTAAGTCTCTTACTTATTTTCCTAAAATATCACACTGACCCAGTGACTTTTTCATTTAAAGTCTCTCGGAATATATCGAAATATGTTTTCCCCCATTTAAGTCACACCATTCCCTTTTTCGGTAGTTTGCAGTGTTTTACCTTAACCTAGAAATCTAGGGGTACAGAGGACGCCCAATATTTAAGTTCAAGGATCCTTATAGGAAATATCCCCTGCCGCTTCATACCAAAAGTCGTAAAGATGAAACTTGTTGTTACCCTGCCTGACGCTGGGCATTAGGGAGCTTAAAACGAAACAAGGACTGGTCTGATAAGTTGGGTATTCATGTTTAACTGCGGCATGGTATCTCAGTGGACTAGCGCTAAAACATTGGCATTAGGCCGGACAAATAGACGCACGCACGCACTTCGCTGGGTAAGTGCAATAATCTTGGACGCGACGTTAAACCCCATTTCACCTTCAGGAAATACGAGGGTCTCGTAAAGTAATGAAATAATGTAGTGTAAGATTTGATAATTACTTTTATTACAGAACCTTTTTCAAAATTTGGGTACCATGACTATATTATGTGCGTTCCTCTGTAGGTGTCCTTTCTGCGCAATTGTGTGTACTGGGAGCACATACCTGCGTCGTGTAAAACCCTTTGACTTAATCCCATATGAATAATTATGGAAAGACAATGCTGGTCGGAGAACATCCTTTTATAAAGTTTACAATATTAATAAATGTTGCAGTCCTAGTTAGTTAAACCGGTACGGGGGCACGGGTGGTCCAGTCGTCTAAAACGCAATTTGCTCCGCATACGATCAGAGTTGAGTCGCGTCGGTGTGCCAAAAACCAATAATCCTTGCTTTCTTCATTGATTTTGTTTTTAGGTTTGCCAGCACCATATCTGTGCCAAAGTGGCAAACGTCTTATATTAGACCTGCATCTATTCCGGGCGTTCATACCGTACTGAACTGACACGCCGTGATGCAACTGTTGAACGGCGTTAACCATCGCATACACACTCATAACAGGACGTGTAACATGGGGCGACTTGGCTCCACACGACGACTCACAAAGGTCCAATTATATTGATAGTCTTTTGCTGCCTATGGCATAGACTTATACGATAGGCTTTATCAACCGAGATGACAATAATAGTTAAATATAGATGTTAGAACTATTACACATTGGCAACATGCAAGCATCATCTGGGGTCTAGAAAACATAGACCACACAATGGCAGGGAAAACTCATAGATTTATTCCAACACATCGATAGTGAAAATATTTTGAAAAGTTCAAAGAGAGTTCACAGGGTCTAATACCAACAACACCCCATACGTTCTTTACAGCAGCCTTCGGACCACATTATCCAGGAGCAGGATATTGAAGTTATATCCTTTTCATTACATACTCATGGACCTTCCACCGTTAATCTATAAATACCGTATTCGACGTAATAAGCGCCGAGGGCGCCCTCAAAATTAGAAAAAGGGGCCTCTTATTAGAATAGAATTTTGGTGAAAAAAAAGAGTTGAAAGATCGTAAATTTCGTGGTTTATGCCTACAGCCTGAAATGATACAAAAGAAAAGTCAGTGCGTATTATACACGACAGATATATTTTTCCAGAATTTAATTGCCCATAATTAAGGGTGCATTTAACACACGAGTGCGTATTATACACGGATAAAAAAAAGTCTTGTGTACATTGTTCAATCGGAAGGGGTGCTAATTGGGATTGTTCACTTGCCAATATATTAACAACTATCGCCGTGGGCGCTTATTAAAACAGGGCGCTTATTACGTCGAATACGATCACCCAAAATAGAGGATATAGATAGACCATCCACATTAGGTTATATATAAGTACTGCCACTCAGAAATACATGTATGGCCCAACACATTATTCACTGATACATAAACAGAATGTGTGTTGCTGAGAGAGACATGCATACATGCTTTTAAGGACACCCATGTATTAAGAAAAAACACTTGCCGAGCAATCAGAACAAGTGGAGTAGTGTGCACCAACCGACATTTAGCTCATCACCTTGAAACGATTATGACGAATACACATGTGCACTAACAACAGGCATATTGATCTTGCTCTCAAAACATGATTCAAACTGGTAATTTCCAAGCTTTAAAAGTCACAAATACACGTTGTCGTAAGATTTGAACGCTTTGGTTTTGATTATCCCAGAGATGTAGAATATTAATTACTACAAGTTTCACAGGATTATTTGGCCCTTACAGCAGCTGCGCTTCTTTTGTAAGGCTTAATGATAACGTGACCATGGCCAGGACTCGCGCCTCGAAAGGTGGAGCCCCTGCCCACCTTTGGAAATAAATATTCCTCATATTTCCATTTCATATGTACCATACAATGCTAACATATCCTATCTACCATACCATGCTGCCGTAGCCTATCTACCATACCTTGCTAGTAGCATATCTACCATACCATGCTGCCCTAGCCTATCTACCATACCTTGCTAGTAGCCTATCTGCCATACCATTCTGCCTATCTACCATACCTTGCTAGTAGCCTATCTTCCATACCTTGCTGCTTTAGCCTATCTACCATACCTTGCTAGTAGCCTATCTACCATACCATAGCTTTCCATAGCATACTGCCGATAGAGCAGGGCATGCTTACCCTTTTCGCGGACAAATGGTGTCATCACCCATTTTCATTGATCCATTCATATAATTGTCCTAAGAATTCGGCCCTTTACGCCCCTTTTGCCTTTTAGGCCCAATGCAATCTGTTTCGGCAGATAATCGGGACTGATTATTCTCTGGCGTTGACGTTTTGAATTTTTTTTATACATTTGTGAAACGATATATTAAATGCATTTTAAAGGAAGGACATGTTTGAGGGGGGACATTCGCTGGATCATCATGATCAATGCAACATTTCATCTACCTTTATTTGTTTGCTTGTTTCTCAGAAGAGATTCTTTTACGATCAGTGTAGGGTGTACAGGGATTGGGACGAAGGACAAGTGACAATGTAAACTCAGATATGACCTTTATTTACTGTAAGACAAATCACTAAGAACGGAAGTGTGCTGATTGGAATTAGAAATTATTTGATTTTAATGGAAAGACAGTAGTGAGGTACATGTCCGTGCGTTAGAGAAAACACGGTGGCCTGGTCGTTTCCTGTGCTCGGACATCTCAGCAGAAATAGGTCCGATCGGACTTCTACTTTTACCTGATACGGATGGGGCAACATGTAGTCCACGGGCTTTCCTCACAGGTGTTCCTAAATATGTTGGTGGGATGGATCTTACTGTATTATGTTAATGCAAGCAGTATATAGGCAAACTATCCCTAAATGTACACATGGCAAATAGATCATCATGATTAAAGTATATTTGCAAAAGGTATCTTAACAGAATAAACCATATGTAGAATGTCATAAGAACCGGATTTCGCAAACGACACAATCACCAATGTATTTCAGCAATGAGTTGATAGTATGCAATCGCTGATTCCCCGCGGTTATGTATTATGAGAGATATTGTTGCATTGATCTGTACACAGAAGCACATATTTTAATATGTGCATCTGACTGTCCCAATTCATTAGTCTTATTCCACATAACCATTACAGCAGTATCTGAGTTCATGATGAGTCGGAATCGTACATAAATCGACTGTTTATTTCAGAGATTTCTTACGAAAATGGAAAGGGTTTTGCAGGTTTTATTCATGTAATTGATTTTATCACAGGTGATGCACAGTTCATTTTATCCCAGATGTCTGACACATGCTGCCGGTGTTTAGATGTATATTTGTAACAACGCTCTGAAAAGTATATCCGCCAAAGTGAAAATGAGAGTAAGTGTTGCGATCTAGTCACAATCTCATATCAATAAAAGAACACGGATCTACAATGATACGCTTTTTTAACGTAAAGTGTTGGTATCAAACTTCGGATTCATTTTACCCATCACTGTTTCAATTAAAACAAATAATCAAATCGTGGACCTACCCTTAGACCTTTTTCTATTATTATGAAATATGTTCTTTTGAGAAGGGGATGAAGTAAACTGCAATGTTATTAAAGATTTCTTAAAAAAGAACTTTCACACACACACACACACACACACACACACACACACACACACACACACACACACACACACACACACACACACACACACACACACACACACACACACACACACACACACAAACACACAAACACACACACACATAAATAAGTACGAGTGCATTTCGTAATATGTTGGGATCCTACAGAGCATCTGTATGTGATAAGTTCTGAACACTGACATATGAATTGTACAACTGCTGTATATGACGAGTGACCTTCGTTTCTTTATTTCTACTTTCAGACAGTACTCTGTTACCTGTTGGTGTTGGGGTTTATGAAAGGTAAGTATATCAAAACAAGTTTGTTAAATGTACGCTTTATGGTAAGAATACGACATTGAACACAAAGCTTGGTGCACAAAAGGGTTGACATATCAGAGAGTTGATCGATGAGTTCTGAGCCTCACATGGACGGAATGGTGCAGAAGTGACATCTTTTGTTGTGGACAAGTAGTTGCAGAAGAAGGGCTTAAAACCACTGGCATCATGAGCATATGGGTACACCACTAGGGAAGGCGGCCCCTTTATATGCCACGATAAAGAGGTTTGGCAGCAGAGCTTAAGCATGACTTGGAGAGACGACCACCTTTCTGCAAGGCCTGTCACGTTAGCAACACCAGAAATGCTTCAGACAATCCATGATATTGTGATGACCGACCGGCAAATGATTGAGCATCATATTCCTAGTTTCAGTTTCAGTATTAACTTTGGCTGTAAAGAAACTATCATCTCGTTGGATCCCAGAGATTCTGACATCTGATTAAAACCACACCAGGACAATCTAGCTCTGTTTGAAGCTAGCCAGAAAGGTTCTTGCAACGAATTATGACTGGGCTCACCACAACAATCTGCAAGTATTGATTACTGCACATTCCTCAAGTTTCCAAAGGTCATAGGTCCCTGATTATGTTACTGACTTGTCACAGCGAAACAATTTGCTTTTGTGGATATTAGTATACCTCTCTGACATCATTTAATGTCCACAACAAATTATTTCGCTCCTATTCAAGTTACTTATTATATATAATCTGTCCAAAGTGTCACAGCAATAGGAAAGTTTTTTCGGCTTATATCCACACCAGATTTATTGGAAAGCCTGCATTCAGAACATGATATAAATGAGATCGTTTCATTTATTTGGCGACGCGAATGCCCGTGTGTGGTTGCACTTGTCTAGTGAAGAATACTGATTAATTACTCTGTGTTGGTACCTCTTCTAGCGATCTGTGACATATACAAATGTCATATCCATTGTTATCGATCTATGTGTTAAAAATTTCTTAGTTTTACATTATTAACAGCGATAATATAGGTACATGTATCAAATATGTCAACCGCCTCCGTGGTCTAGTGCATTGAGAGTCTGCCCGGAAAGAGGACGGGTCGGTGGTCCAATTCCAGCCGCTTCATACCAAAAGACGTTAAACGACGGTACTTGTTATTACTCTGCCTAACGCTTAGCATTAAGGGGATAAAACAAGGACCGAAGATAGAATACTGTGTCTGAGTGGGGGTATTTATGTCAAACTGCAGCTTGGTATCTGAGTGGTTAAGCAGTATAAAAATAGTAAAAGCAGACTCACATGCACGCGCGCACACACACTCACACACACACAGATACACACACACACACATTGCAATATAAATTTGAACGTTAAACCCTTTCTAACCTCACCTCACGTATAACATATTAATGCCGTGAATGTATCTTCTATAAATAATCCTGTATACTGAAGACAGTATTTAGTTGTATGTCAGTAAAACAGCTTTGATATTTTTTTGTGATAAGTCTGTTTATATTGGTAGTTATTTACTATTTATGTTTCTACTCCTGTGGGGCACACAGTCAGGTTCCATACAACAATAATCAATGATCATGTTAGTGTTTTATCTTACAATCTCAAAACGAACAGTGTGACACATCTTCATGAACAGTCTTCGCATAAGATGCTGAAACATTCCTTTGGGGCGGTAGGGAAAACTCGTGGCTCGCACTTAGGTACAGTGTGACAACATAAAGCTAAACTCGCTCAACCACTGACAATTGTGAGGATACTGAGGAATTTATGCATAGTGTTACTGAAAATTACTGCAGTTAATTACTGCCCGAGTTAACAGTATTTACCAGAAGAAAAGAACATAGAGAAAAGGTTTAACTGTTTGCCTTAGAGAAGATCACAACACTTTATGTCGTGTTTTAGTACTTGGGTACAATTTGTGTCGGTTGCCTCACAGTTCGTACATTTTCGCAGGTTTTACATCAAACAAAGCATTGTATAACCGTTACTGTTCACTAGCATCTACCTAAGGGCATTGTATGTTTATATTTTTGCTATCTGCATCTGGTTAATTACAGGTCATTTATGATTTGACCTAATTTTTTTTCATATGTACTTTTCAATTATTGGAAGAAATAAAGAATGTCTGTTTGTCCTTCCAGAAACCTTCAACAACCTTTAATGATCATTTCAGATGTTTTTATTTGTTTCGCACTCAAATTAAGGAATGACAATACCAAGTTTTGACAACGGAAACCTGACGTTTCATGCTGTGGGAGTTTGCCAGTTGTATTGTGCTTGCCCACTGAGACACCAAGAATGCCCAACTTATACACTATACTGACTGAGAGCAGACCAATCCTTGTTTCGTTTCCGTAGTGCCAAAGTGAGTGAGTGAGTTGGGTTTAACGCCGCTTTTAACAGTATTCCAGTTATATCGCGTCGTGTCAGCTTAGTGTGGGAGGAATGCAAGTCTGAGACGTTTACCACATCCGTGAAACTCACGAGCACGGGTATGGTGCTGACAAACCTAGAAACATAATCGGGGCGAATCGTGCCCAAGGAACGCAACTCTGCACAGCGAATCGTGGTACCTTGGACGACTGGGCCACTCCTGCCCCCCGTAATGCCAAAAGGCAGGGTGACAAAAATAACCATCTTTTTACGTCTTTCGGCATGATTAGGACATCAGGATCAAACCATCGACCACGGAGGCGGTTGGAGGCGTTTCCCGTGGTTGATAAGAGAAATTAGATCTATGCGTCAGGAATGGATTGGCATTCACTTAAAATCGATTTGTACAATTTTGAGAAACAACAACATGTGATAATGCAGGCACACAAGAGACGACTGATTTATTTGTAACGTATTCATTCTTGTCACGTTAGTTAAACTTTCGTATGGTTACTATACCAGTCGATAGTGTGTCAGTTGTCAGTATTATTGCAACTACTATGACGCCCTGAGTAATGGGGGCGGTGAGGTAGCCTCGTGGTTAAAGCGTTCATTCGTCACGCCGGAAACCCATGTTCGAATCCCCACATTGGTATAATGTGTGAAGACCGTAACTGATGTCCAACGCCTGATATTCCTTGAATATTGATTAAAGTCGCGAAAAATCATCCACATTCACTCACTCATTCGAGTTATGAGTGAAAATGTAATGCATTATTCACAGTTCTACACACTCTTGTAATTGTTGTTCAACTTTAAATAGTCTTTTACTTTTTTCAGGAAACTCAGCAATGCCTAAAGGACGCCGATTCATCATTCAAGTTTATGATTCACTTCTGAAGAGATATTTTAACCCGTTTTACTTGTTTGTCTTCAGATGCTTCAGCCATGCCTAAGGGACGACGATTCGTTGTAGCGTTCTTTGAACAATTATACCAAGCTGCAAGCCTTCCAAACATGTTCTTTGTGATTCTATCTGAGTTCAATGCCACTGTTCACGTTGAGAGTGGATTCGGTATTTCAGAAGATTTACACATCCAAGGCATGGTAGACTACAAGTACAAAGTTGATGAAAGTTTTTATTACCAAGCCAACCTACAGGTGACTGACATGGCATTCCACTTTTCATCCACTGAGGAAATAACCTTGTTCTGTTATCACGTACTTGTCAATCGTGGAGACGGATACCTTGCCTTGCCGGTTGAGACTTTATCCACGGAATACATTGTAGTGACACACATTGATAATCACACATCTTCAACTGCTGAGGCTGAACTACCCTACACAAAGAAAACACAGACTGCTTTCCTCATCATCGCTACGGAGACCAATACCCAGGTGGACATCAGTCTAAAGATACGAGGACCCCTTATGGCAGGTGGATGTGGCAATGGGACATTCTTCAATGGGCAGAGCAGAACATTTACACTCAACAAGTATCAGACAGTTGGCGCCTACTGTGCCGAGGACATTACTGGAACACTGATTAGCAGTGACAAACCCGTGGCTGTGATTAGTGGGCATAACATGAAGTATACTACAAGCATTAAAGACGGCATGCAAGAAATGTTACTGCCTGTGAAGTCATTTGGGAGAAGTTTTTACTTGCCAGAACCGCCATCTATTACTGGTGGGGCAATATACAGAGTCGTTGGATCAACAGCGTCAACCTCTGTACGCTCCCCGTACGTCAGTGGTATATCTTTCTCCCTTGGTGCGCGGGAGTCTCATGACATAACTGTTGACTCTACCACAGGTCCAGTTTACATTGAAGCCGATAAACCTGTCATGGTTGTTCAAATAGTTATAAAAACACCATCACTGGCAATAGTTCCACCAACAAGTTTATACTCCAGCTCTTATGACATTGGAAAACCTGTTCTTCATGCGTCATTTGACCTGAAGAAGGTGCTCATAACAGTCATTGTTCCCACTGACAAGGTTCTCGGAATACGACCACAAATATTTCCACAATTCAAAGTTATTAAAGGCAGCTGTTTCTCAGAGGCATCAGTGGAGTTGACATCACCAGGATTTTACCGCCTGACCCACGAAGATGATGTTCCATTTGGAGCCATGATGTACGTGTTTCCGTATGTGGACAGTCAGTCTGTGTTTACGCATCCGGCCGGACTGAATCTGACAAATGATGTCGGTAAGTCTCAGTCATAAAACTTATCGAATCATTGTGACATTGACACAGGTGATTACATAACAAACAAACCAACAGAACTAAAAGAATTTGCTGTCACTTATACCAATATCAAATTACCAATACATTAGCAATAATTAATTATGTTTTACCCATAATGTGAAAGGTATTTAATTTCGAGAACAGGACAACTTTTCGACATAAAATACATGTGTCAGGAAGGTTAAAATTGATTTGCATCTGGTAACTCACATACCAAATAAACACGTCTAGGCCACCAACTCCCCCGATAAATCTTCCCAAAGGAAATAGGACCGTAGGATTATTATATAGAAAACAAATATCTGTTTTAACTATTTTAAATTTCACATACATATGGCAATTGGGATACGATGACATGCATCAACCAAGTCAGTGAGCCTGACCATCCGATGCCGTTAGTCGCCTCTTACGACAAGCAAAGTCGCCATTTACGGCAAGCATGGGTTGCTGAAGACCTATTCTACCCCGGATTCTATATCGTGACGAGAAGTTAAAAATTAATAATACATATATTTATATTAAATAAAAACTTGTCCTATTTTACACTGGATCTTCAACATATGGCATTGCACCAACAATGGTTTTGTCATTGTTTGATTATGGTGACAGCATTGTTACAACCCTTAATGTAACAATTATTAGTACTCTTTATGTACAACTTTTTACATTAAGGGTTGCGGGTTAACTCTTGTTTATAACCCTTAATGTAACAATTACTCTTAATGTAAAACTTTTAACATTAAGGGTTGCGGGTTAACTCGTGTTCACAACCCTTAATGTAATGATTACTCTTAATGTAAAACTTTTTACATTGCAATGTCACAGTTAGACACTGATTTTAAGTATATTAGACTGTTCTTTTGATAATGATAGCAATTATCCTGATTCCCGATGGTTAATTCTGACTCGATCGCCGAATTACAAGGGCGGCGCCATGTCTGTTTATAAACACTGAAAGTAATCTCTGCTTGACCTTTGATATTTGCATCTCTATCCGCATATGACCCCAACGGATATCGTTTTTATCCGTTGGCTTTATCCTGCCGAGAAAACGACCCATTATATGATAAATTCTATTACGAATAATTAGTCTTCACTTTATTCAGTACTTGTCCTTCTTGTACAAACGATTTAGTTGCAAACAGTATAAAATACAACACATTCCTTTGCATTTTTATAAAAAAAAAAGCAGTTTTAATTAACATAATTGCATATTATCAAAGTAGAAGTATTTGTGTTCTTACAGCATTGGCGTAAAACAAGTACTTTTCTGTATTCATATTGATAATAGGGTCATGCGATGACAGTATAGTGTATTACATTTTAGAATATTTGAAAAGATTAAAAACTTTGCCTTAGATGGCTGTAACATAGAAAAACTTACAAAAAGTGAGATTATTTTCGCTATGGTTTAGGTTACAAACTTTACATTTCTAAATTCACGAGAGATATTGAAATGTCCTGCACGTTCAATTTCTAAATTGTGAGAAGTGACCTGAAAATGAGTCAATGTGGTCCTTAATTTATTTACAGTTATACGACTCAAATAGTTCTCACATGAAATGAAAGTTTTAATTGTGCATAATCAGCCACATCACCACATAATAATCTGAAAATAACAGTTTTAAGTTTCGGTACCCAGTTTACGTGGCCTTGTTCATCGTACAACCGCAACATATTGTAATATTTTGGGGGGTGAACGAGATGCCTGCAAATTATATAGAGACAGCCAATATTTGACACATTTCATAATAGCGAGCGACTGAATAGAACATCTGCCAGACTCAGTTCTTTATCACTGAACCCCCAAATTTCAGCCCCGTATAAAAGTATTGGTGTTATCGTAGTATCAAAACATTTGAAGTAAAAGTGAGGCGAGTATGGTTTCAAGGAATGCAACAACTTAACAGGACCATGAATACCCTTCTTGTCTGAATTGGAATATTATTTCAGCATTCGACCTCAGAAATATATTGCTAAATTACAAGCCAAGATATATAACTGTATACAGTGACTACTTCATACGCATTTCCATCATAATACCATTTTTTTTTAACGTGATAAACCTCCCCTATTTTTGAAAAACAACTATTTTTGTTTTTGATATATAGATTGACTGGCATTTCCCATTTACAACTGTCATCATGCAAGATATTCAACTACATTTGTAGGTTGTTGACAGAATTGCCAAACACAATAAGGTCTTCCGCAAATAGAAGTAGAAAAATATGAATAAATTCCGGATGTAACTTAACACCAAAAAGACAATTTTGTTCCATTACAGTAACCAATTCGTTTATTAAAAAAAACTTAAACAAAAAGGGACAAAGCATATATACACCCTTGCTTCACACCCATGAAGAAACAAATATACCAGATACTCTGTTGTTTGAACGAACACAAGGCATGTACATAACTGTAAATGGATTGTAATATGTTACCCATTTTAGCACTCAAACCATGTGTGTACAATGGCTTCCATAGATGTCGTCAAGGTCAACTGATTTATTATGTTTCTAGGCACTGATGCTTTCAAAAAGTTCGGATCTGGTGATTGGGGATTCTAATATGTCAATTGTCATTTCTTGCACATAACCTTGACATGTCACTATGTCCTCCACCTCACCAAGATTATCCTGAGTACCTATTGGTTCAGAATTCAGCGACGAGAAATAGTCCCCCCAGTCTTGTATATCAATAGGGATGGGTCGTTGCGGTCGTAATACATTTTACATTAAGGGCTGCGGGTTGTTACTCTCAATGTACATTTATTTACTTTAAGAGTATTTTTTTACATTAAGGTTTGTAACACAGCATTCACTGGTTTAGTAAAGCTTTCAAGAAGATTTATGGAAGAAATTCCCAATTTTGACTTGTTTCATGATCATATGTTCCCGGTATTTGTCCAGGTGAGCACTTGACATGCCTTTATACCTGTGACTGGTGCCACCGGTGGGACTGGATAACCTCACCTTTTGTCGTTCACCAGGTACCACCCCTATTTGATGCAAATGTTGATGATATAATCAGAATCGTTCAATGGACTTTTACCAAAGATTCCCTATGATTATGGAAAGTGTTTTTGATGCTGTTAATCACGTGAAATCGTTTACATGTATTACATTGTTTGTTTGTTGTTTAACGCCGGACTCAGCAATATTCCAGCTATATGACGGCGGTCTGTAAAAAATCGAGTCTGGAACAAACAATCCAGTAATTGACATCTTGAGCATCCATCGATCCACACACTTGCAATTGACATACGATGACGCGCATCAACCAAGTCAGCGAACCTGACCACCCGATCCCGTTAGTCGCATCTTACAAGGATAGTCGCCGTTACGGCAAGCATGCGTTGCTGAAGACCTATTCTAACCGGATCTTCACGGGTTGTATTACATTGAATCATGAGGGCAATACAAGTACTAAGAGAAATAATGTTGCATTCCATGGTTTCGTTGTTTTTCAGATAAAACAGCATGTCCTGCATCAACAGTGTGTTCAGACGGGACTCCGTATCCATGCTCGTGTTCATCAGGATACTTTGAATACCAGTGTAATGACAGTAAGTCCTTTGCGTCATGTACTTAAGTATTCTTTGTGCGGAATCCGAGGGAGAATACGTTCATAATCTCCGTACTTGCATTAAGAGCGTATGGGTACTGAACTGATCTGAACTTTTTTTTACAATAAGGCCGCTATCAGCAGCATCAGAGGTACAAAAGTATTTCAACAACATAATACATATGCATATAAATATAGAATAGATTTTTAAAAACTTCTCTGCCGTGCATGCATGCAATGTGTACAGATTCGCTAGGGTAGCAATGTATGTGCAATCCAAAAAGAGGGAGAGCTACTTGATTGGTTTAAACAATGACATGATGATTTTACAGAATTTGGAGAGTTTCTCAATGTTCCTAATCGTGAATTATTGAAAAGTAAATTCATTTTATGCATATTGGGTTTGATGTAGTAGTTATCCTGCCGTGAACCTCGATTGTTTAAATACAGGCAACATTATGCTGGAATATTGCTGACTGCAGCGTAAAACAGCGTTATGTTACCAAAATTCACTGTACATCTATATACAGCACATTTCTATGTAACATGTTTGTAAAGCTTTGCTTTGTAACTATTTTTGTTTTTTGAAATACAAATTTGTGAAATTAAGTTATTTTTTCTTAACTACCTCATTCTCATATATGCCCAAAACGGCACAGCTGCAGCATGCATTGACAATATAGAAGCTTTCCATAGATGAGTGGGATTTGTATTGGTAAAAACCGCTGTTGATCTATTGTATGGGATGGTTGCTGCTTTTGTTTCAAGCTTCAGGCGGCTGCGCCGTGGACCCGTGCATGTACTCCAGTGCCTGTACTAACCTGACAAATCTCTACCAATGTGACTGTGTCACTGGATCGGGAGGAGCGAATTGCGAGTTTGGTAAGCACAACCTAACAAAGAAAGTATTGTGTGCGTGGATGCGTGCGTGCGTGCGTGTGTGTTACTCAGCAAAATACATTACTTGAATTAAGAGTACATGGTACAGGTGGAGCGCAACCTAGGTATGGTGGCAGAGTTGCATTTGAGATATCAATTTCAAACGAACTGTTAAAAAATATTATACGGCATTGTTGTGATCAGTCACATCTTCACTACGCTTTGGGGCATGGAAACTTCCATTAATGTTAAGACGCACATTAGTTCAATGTGAATTGAAATACCACGTGGGACTGTCCAGAGCTAGATACGACTGTCAAAAAGAAAGTTGTACAACCTGTCGTTCGGAGGAAACGAAACATACACAGATCAAAACTTTATGAACCTAGAGCTTAGGAATGGATCCACAAAGGATCACAATCGGCTCTTTTCTGCAAACAATGATAATAGTTACTTGGTTTGATAAGCACATGAACTATTCTACGTTATGGATAGAAACAAAAAAAAATTCAAACCGATCTCCGCTTATTTAGTCAGGAGAACTAAACTGAAATGATTCAATGGACACTTTTATTTTTCGTAAAAAAGGAAAGAAATTACATGAAATCGTTTCCAAAATAGTTCAATGGTCGATGTTGATTGTCCAGAATATGACCAAAAATTGCCATGTCCATCATTTCGTTAACATCAGCAAAACCTATAGTAGTAGTAGTAGTAGTAGTAGTAGTGGGAGTAGTAGTACAATTCATTCCTTTAACATCGACGTTTTCACATTGTTAGCAAATTTAGTTTTGAAAAAGATTACATTATTTAAAGTCTCAGTTTCTGAATATATTGAAAAACACCCCTAACGTAAAGCGAATAAACACGTCAACTGTAAAGACAAAGACATTGCAGGGCTTGATACCTCACCTTCCTCTTTAAGATGCTTTGACTACATTATAACTGCATCACATGCATAAGCATTATGTCATTGATCCACTAGTTTGCCGAGCCCACACTGGATAGCAGTCGTAAAGTTGGAATTGTGCTCAATTGTGGATATAACAAGAGAAGCATTCATTCCATGTTTGTTTGTTTGTTGTTTAACGCCGCACTCAGCAATATTCCAGCGATAAGACGGCGGTCTGTAAATAATCGAGTCTGGGCCAGACGAGCCAGTGATATCATGTACATCGATCCACGTAATTGCCATACGATGACATGCATCAACCAAGTCAGCGAGTCTGACAACCCGATCCCGTTAGTCGCCTCTTACGACAACCGTAGTCGCCATTTACGGCAAGCATAGGTTGCTGAAGACCTAGTCTACCCCGGATCAACTGTTATGAGACGTTTTATTAACTTAAGAAGGTGATGTTTTTTATTTGTCTGCGTCGTGGCTGCGCTGTTTGATCCTTTGATCTCTCGAACTGATTCCTTGCCGTAAACGTAACGTCTTGGGTACCGCGTTCAGAATGAAAAGCATGACAAAACGAATATCAACAGCATCGTGCCGTCTGTTTCATTCTAGCATGTTTTAGGCAATGAATTGGGGTTTTTCAAATGTCACCATTATTTAATCGCGCATTTTGCATGCTCGGTAACTGGAATCAATGGTTAATATCATAATATTATGTCAACAGCGTATGTCAAATACATTACCTGTAAGTAATGTATCAGAAGCGGAGGTGGCTTTAATCGCAGAGATAACCATCACACAACAAAAGCGTTTAACGTAACACAATATGATTAAACGTGCAACTGATGGTTCCAATTTGCTAATCACGGAAGGAGCACACACAGTATTTTAGACAAGTGGAATGAATTAAATTGATTGATTATCATGTTTCCGTGATTTTTAGGTGACGAATTGACTTAACTGTGCAGGTTTCATGTTTTCGCAAACGGTGGGGCAGGATAGACTTACCTGGTATCATCACTATTTAGTGATTCTTAAACACATACTTACAGTGTAGTCGAAATCGTACAATAAACTCTGCTTTCAGCATATATTTATTAACATAATGGGAATGTTTTGGTCGCTTTATTTGTATATTGTGATGTTAAGACCCTAACAGGGTAATAAATTGAGGTTGTTCTTGTTGAGTGTGTTACATACAAGTAACGCTTCCAGTATTAACGTTTCCCCGCGTTAGCATTGCATGGTTACGTTTAACATACAAATGACTTTATGTTCAACTGTGTATGTTTACCAACTAACTTTAAATTGCGGGGACATCTACCAACACTAATCTTCCCGGACTGCCAAACCCAAAAGGACACATAACTTCGATTACCAAAGCAGACATGAAGGCAGCACTGTCAAACACATGACCAAATAACTTTAACCACGCCATAGACATGCAACGGACCATCGATTCTGTCAACCAACAACCACTACTGCTGGACTGCTTGAGAAAGAGGAAGCTGCCAGAAAAAGTTTACGATAAATTTTGTCTTTGGTGTAAATGAGTTCTTGCATGTTTTTTGTTTCAAGTTCTCAATGAACATTACGGGACAGAAAAGGTCAAATGTATGCCATGTTTGCCGTATTAACGAATTTAAAGGAGAATCGGAAGGTCACAATGTGTACGCTGAGTGAATGTCACATCAACCCTTAGGTCATGTGAGTCCGCTGTGATATATTCGATCTGAACTGTAATCTAAAGCTAATTTTCAAACATTCTAATGTCAATATGACCTCTTGCTGGTGTAAAGCTTCTTCAAAAACGCGATATAGATACTCATATATCAGGAATCTATCATTAATTTTTTCATCGGGTCCATTTGCTATGTGTACTTACAGATATCACTGATAATTGTGTCAACAACACCTGTGTAAATGGCATCTGTACCGATGAGCTGGTCTCGTATACATGTGACTGTACTGATACTGGATACTCCGGAACACTATGTGAGACAGGTAAGTGCTTCTGCCATCTGGACCAATTTGTACGTATAAATGAGGTTGGGTACGATAGCGAGCATTTGATCAGTCAAGGGAAAATTAATCTGGCAATTAGAAAAGACAGTCACAAAAATGCAAATGTAAAGTGAGTCTTTCGGTTACTTAGTTCAGCGTCATATAATTCGAAAGCATTTTATTTTACGCCGCTTGTAGCAATATTCCAGACATATCACGGCGGAGGATACCAGATATTGACTTCACACATTTCATGAACGCTTTAGCCGCTGGGCTACCCCACAACAAATGTCGTTGCATATAGAAATGAGCTAGTGTTGTTCTGAGTGTTGAGAAACATGGCATCATGGTAAATGATTAATTTGACCACAGCGATAAAAAAGTATGTATATATTTCCTATATGATACATTTTGCCCATTTAGTGTGCATCACACCTGGATTCAAACATACGATCATAGGTGTCCGGCACCCGAAGAGTCGCAACAATGAATAGTGATTAGTGGCACCTTGATGAATTGGCCACCTGTGTCCCTAGTCACATTGAACTGACCTGCTTAAACAGTAGTGGCAGTAGTATGCGGGATGAAAGTTGCCATTTATGATGACAATATATAATGGCGTTCTTGAGGATAACCCATCCAGGTCATTTGTGAAAGTTTGATATCAGAAAAAGAGCTAGCATTGTTCAATGCCATGTCATAATGATATAGTAATAATAAAATAATAAATGGTTTGTTAAAGGCAATAAATTCATGCGTTTCGATCAATGCTCAAAGTGTATGGTAATGTGTAGTAGTGAGTGAGTGAGTGGCTTTTAACGCCGCTCTTAACAGTATTCCAGTTATATCACGACGTGGCAGCTCCATGTGGCCCAAGTGATGCAGGTCTCAGACTTTTACCACTTCGTAAACCCACGAGCAAGGGTATGGTGCTGGCAAACCTAGAAACATAATCGGGGTGAACCGGGATTCGAACCGGTAATTTGTTGTACATCATTGAGGAATATATTGGAAGTATTTCAATAATTCGAGAAAGATATGACTGTCAACATAATATTGGCCAAAGCATAACACTTTGTCATTCTCATAGGTATTAAGTTTCAGTTACCCCTTACAAACACGACTGTTGCCTATCATAATTCACAATACAAAGGTTCAGTAGTTCAATTATTGAACGACATAACTTAACAAGTTGCTGACAGCAATGGACCAAGTGACCAAGATTAATGTTGTCAGCATGCTCATAGTAAAATACAAACTGAACATGTGTGAAGCAAAGCACCGGCCGCTTCATACATGTTCTATACATTCATACATGCACTATGCACATGCACATGTTTTAAATCGAATCTGTGATATTCTTGTTATTGTACTGTCCATCGTTGACAAGTTTTTATCTGATATAAATATATGTATTATTAATGTATAACTTCTCGTCCCGATATAGAATCCGGGGTAGAATAGGTCTTCAGCAACCCATATTTGCCGTAAAAGGTGGCTATGCTTGTAGTAAAGGCGACTAACGGGATCGGGTGGTCAGGCTCGCTGACTTGGTTGATGCATGTCATCGATCCCAATTGCATGGATCGATACTCATGATATTAATCACTGGATTGTCTGGCCCAGACTCGATTATTTACAGACCGCCGTCATATAGCTGGAATATTGCTGAGTGCGGCGTTAAACAACAAACCAACGTCACGATATGGCTGAAATAGTGTCGATGTGACGTTAGATATTAACTCACTCACTTCAGAGAGCTTCAAGAGCAATGTTGGAATACATCTTACGCGTCCTATTGTATACACTGACGGACTTATGTTAAAGATACATAATACACCAATGAGTTCTGATGATCAATACACAAAGTGTCTCATTGTAGAGATCAACGAGTGTGCAACAAACCCATGTGTGAACGGTACATGTTTCGACCACGTCAACAACTACACCTGTGCCTGTGAACCTGGGTATACAGACAAGAACTGCAGCACAGGTGAGAAGGTTGTCCTCGCAGACTGAGAGTATCTCCCTTAAGTACACACTGTTTGAAATCTATCGTAGATAGAAGGTATTTCCGTTTTAGGCGGGAACGACAGTTTCATGTTTCAAGAGTACAACGATTATCAGATAACGTCTTATTTATTTTTATTAAGTCATATAAGTTGAAACTCGCATTGAGATCAAATAGAATCAACGTGAAATGTTGAACCTACTATATAATTATAAAAATATTATAAGTTAGGGAGGGAGTAGGAGGTGTCATGAAAAATGTTACAAGGCCAGCAAAATATATACATGCATCAAACTTTCACGGTTAATGTCATTTTGCACGAGATCACGTTACCAGAATTGTGGCTTTCAGAATCTGTAACAATAAATCCATATTTTGACTTTATATACGACACATTTATATTTAATTTTGGTATAGTTTCTTTTGTCCGTGAGTGTACATATGAAAAATAGAACCTAACTTTAAACCTAGTGTTGGAAAAAAAATATGGGGCTCTTTTCTCAAATTGCGTTGCCATGAGCACGAACTGTTATTGAAATCCCTGTGATGAAACATAAATAATAAATATCTCGTTGGTAAGGCTAACGCATTTAATGTTTTGTTTCAGCATTTTGCATACAGAAACAAACATGTATCATTTCCACCATAATACCGGGATGCTTGAATAAATGGGTTGTAAATTGACACTCACACTGTAATAGGAATAAAACGTTGTTATTGAAACAGTACTACACCTAATAATACTTAATGTGTGATTCAGTGTGTATGCCCATACGAGCGATTGTTCTGTGTGTACGCATGCACGAGGCACGTTCAAGTTGTATTCCTGATTGTGTACTTTTGAGACTGCTGTTAGTTATCTGGCATTGTGTCAAAACATCATTTTGATTATTTTATTTTGCGATATTCATGCATCAAATGATGCTTTATGAAGAGAACATGAATGATGTAATGTGACGTTCTGTATAGTTTAACGTTTAAATTCAAGGCCAGTCTGTAGAGACAGTTATGGAATATTTTTGTCATATCATTTTGTTTCGTGTGTTCTCATTTGGACAAAAAAACACAGAGAATGACTCAATTTGAGAGTCTATATAAATTTGTCGAATGATCATAGATTTTCATGGCTTAGCATTCAACAATATTTCGACTGATTTGTTATACATGAAAATATTAAAAGAAATGGAGATTACTCTTCTATTAAGATAACATTTATCTGTAAATGACAAGAGGGAAAATAACGGCCCCCCTTTTAATCTATTCTCACAATGCACACGCTTACCTTGCAACGCATCCTTTTCGTTATCCATATTCGTTCATCTGAAAGATCTCTTTTCCCGTGTCAGCGGGCATCTCATTATCAGCTATTTGAACGAAATCGGTCAGTATAATAAGTTTTAAATATGTATGTGAATAATTAAAAGCTTGTTCTTAAATAAGGTGTGATGCTATTATCAACTGACATTATTGGATGCTCTGTCCAGGAGGTTAACGTAGCGTAAAAAGATTGTACCCCTGTGTGACACGTAATCCTATCATAATCGATGTTACTATCATCAACCAGTGTTGTTTTTAAGCCAACTCATTGCTGACAATTTTTAATATTGGCTAGTATTGTTCATAACCAACAGTGGCTAAAGTGATGACGTAAATCCTGCTGGGGTATAATGCAGGATGCAGAGGTACTGTAAGTCCCCATGATCCCCAGCGAGGTGGCCTAGCTTTGGTTACTGGTGTCCTATAGGCCGTGTTTTAAAACTGTATTATATTATATTGTTATGCTCAAATATGTTTCATAAATTGTTTTAGATATGGTATACATGAATTGATTTTAAATATAACTTTGCTTAAATGACTCAATTGTGAACACATTAAACTTGGTCTCGTCGCTATATGGCTGAAATAATGCCGATGGTCACTCACGTTCAACATCTTTTCAGCGTTATTCCCCCTTACATTGACGTACACGTATGGTAACACAAGTTACCTCCCTTATACTACATTACTCCCCTCCTAATTAAAGAACACGTTCTCATGTTTTGCTTATAGATATCATAAATGTAAATTATCAACAGAATAAACATTAATGCACTTAATCGAACTGTTATTATTAAATAATAAGGAGATAAGAATAATAATAATGTGGACTTGATAAGCTGACGTCATTCATTTGTGTGCATTCAGAAATCAACGAATGTGACAGTACACCGTGTATGAACGGAGGCACATGCGCCGATCTTCTCAATGCCTTTGAATGTACATGTGCAGGTGGATTCAATGGAACAATGTGTGAAATTGGTAGGTATTTTTCTTTGCAGCTACTGTCACATTTTGGGAGACAAAACCAACTTTTTAAGAAACGGACGTAAGAGAAACATTGTCACTTAAATGAGCAAGCAATCCATTAAGTCGTTTAAAACCTAACGCGGGACGCCTAAAACCCCATGTACCCTGAGTGATTCTGCTACAACTTATAATGTATAATGTATAATGTAACTAGCGAAGCCTTCTCAAATGTTGTTACAACACATGATTCTGTTTGTTTACAGGAGATTGGCTTAGGACAGGATTATGAAGCCTTCTCACAAGTTATTATAAAAAGGCAGGAATATGCTTTCAGTAAACAAGTATAAAATCCCTTGGTTCATTTCAGTGATTATGTCTAATTACTGAAGATTTCAGTAATTAGACATAACCACCGAGTGAATCAGTTATTAGACATAATCACTGAAATTTCCAGTTATTAGACTTAATCACTGATTATACTTGTTTCCTGTAACATATATACCTCTCATTACTTATATACTTACTGAGTTACTTACGTACCAGCTTGATAACGGTGTAAGAATCTACATCAAAACTCAAAACGTAGCTATAAGCAAAAAACCAGAAGTTGTTATCAATAAAGTTGCATGTTTTCTTATTTACTCACCAACTGCAACAATCCCAATCGGTTCCAAAAGTAGTAGAACTGTGAAGTTATGAATGTTGGCATTTGAAGTGAATATGCCCAGGTAAAACATACACACGAACGATTTTATTATCAGAAATATATACAATAAGGGATTTGTTTAGTTTCCGGAGACATAGCGGTAGACAGATTTAACGCAGTTGGTGTAGTTATAGGTTTTTTGTTCAAGCGATATGCAATTAATGTACTTGCATGGACACATTGTAAAACACTGTGGATAGCTTCGAGGGAGGCAGATACGGAATGATTTATTGGTCTTGAAGTTTCAGTTTAATGATGACTGTTGCAGACATCGACGAGTGTGTGTCAAATCCATGTAGCAGTGGCGGTACATGCAATGACTTAGCCAACTCCTACAACTGTTCCTGTGTCCCTGGGTACGAAGGTACTCACTGTGAATCAGGTAGGATGCTTACCTTATTTCAAAAGCGCTTTTTTATTGATGATGATTTTTCTAATGTTCAGTTATTGTTCGATAAACTTAACTGAACGACAGAACTATTTTTTAAATTTGTTCATCTCGTCGGCATGAAAGAACGATAATCTTAGTATTTTAGTCATTTGGGACAAGCGGGTATTGTTATAAGGCCAAAATTTCAAAACATTTCTTTTGGGAAAATAGACTCATCGATGTATTGAGATGATTAACTTCGTGTTATCTGTACTCATTTCCATTCCAACTGTTTCACACTTTAAAGGTATAAACTGACGTAAAAACACAATGACTTGTGATTACATAAAGAGGTATATCTATTTAATTTTTCAAACGTTCACGGTTTTAAATTACGAACTTGAATGCAACCTTTGTTATCACTGTTTCAGATATTGATGAATGCTTGAGCAACCCATGTGTGAACGGCAGCTGTGCAGACTTACTGAATGCCTACAACTGCACCTGTGATCCCGGCTACGAAGGGCAGAACTGCAGTATTGGTAAGATTCCAGTCGTTTAAATCATTCAACGACACATACAGCGCGTCACAATCTACGCTTACGGTACGCAAAGGACGTATTGCTTTGATCGTGTAACGAAATATATACCTGTAATATTCGACTTTGAATTTTCCTTATTATTGTAAGAAATCTGAGCCACTAAACAAAACTTTCAAAGTTCTCGTCGGCAAACATCATTCTATTTTCACATAGTGATGTTCTGTTTAGAACTTAATGTACGAGGGATGTTTCATTTTCTTTAAACACCCGGAAGATCCTGTTTAGAAATGGGCTTCAACAACCCATGCTTGTCATAGGAGGCGACAAACGGGATCGGGGGGTCAGGCTGGCTGACTCGGTTGATGCATGTCATCGTATTCCAGTTGTGTAGATCGATGCTCATGATGTCAATCACTGGATTGTCTTGTCCCGACTAAATGCACAAACAATCCAATTTATTTTTAAATTAACAATTAGTTCGTCATGTTTTTTTCATGTGCGTTCTTCGTATACCATAGTCAGAGACCGCCGTCATATAGATGGCATAATTTCTAAGTACGGCGTTAAAAAACAACCTACGAAACTGAATACATACAAGTCTGGCATGTATGTGAGTTAAGTATTATGGATTGACAAAGGCAATGTTTCAGAACATACAACGTAAAAACAAACAAAACGAAAGTCAATTTATGCACTTTCGCTTTATTACATCTTGCTTTATATGTTACAGAAATCAACGAATGTAATAGTATGCCTTGCCAGAATGGAGCTGGGTGTGTTGACTTACTGGATGCCTTTGAATGTACATGCAGTAGTGGATTCAATGGGACACTGTGTGAACACGGTTAGTATGGCTTTGTAGTAAGTAATCTAGTTATACAAGTGACCAAATAATTCATTACACTGTCTTCTCTATTCACAAATATATATGGAACATATTCATCCTTTTTGTCATTCAACTATGTTTATATTTCAGATATAGACGAATGTCTGTCAAACCCCTGTGTCAATGGCGGCACATGCAACGATTCAGTAAACTCCTACAACTGTTCATGTACACCTGGGTATGGTGGTACTCATTGTGAAGCAGGTGGGATTCCACTGTTATTATCCTGAGATAAGAAATGTAATAACCTCACTAACCCTACAAACGGTATACATGTCAGAAACAGGTGTTTTCTTCTGTCACAGCTCGTGGTAACAATTTCCATATGTTCCTGGATACGGATGCTAGAAAGCCTAACCATGGTACTTTGGTAGCATCATTGAATATATTTTAATCGAAATTTCGAGTTTTTTTACGTTACTCAGATTATATTTTCGTAATTTCGATTATTTTTTCGTTATTTCAAGTTAATATCTAAACATTTCGATTTTTTAATAAACTTGGAATAACGAGAAAATATTCAAAGTAATAAGAAAAAAAACCGAAACTTCAAAGAAAATAAATAAATTCATTGTAATTGAAATAACGAGAAATTTTGATCTAAACCATCTAAATAAAAGTTGATGGCATATTGTTTGACGGTATTCTTGCGTACTTCATGGGTCGCCTTGTCGTAGTTTTCTCGTAGATTCGCCCTGATGTATGGCCAGTGGTGCTGATAGGTACTGCCAAAATGGTAAACTACCATGAACAGTGTCACATATAGCACCATTCAACATTGAACTGACACGCATAAAGTCCCTCACATCTCCCCCCACCCTTCCACAAATGCCCCACTCTGTACCTGATAATCCAATATTTTACTTTTGAAGATGAAAGGTAGTATTCGTGCCCAAGTGTTTTCTTAGACGTTTCTGAACACTTTAAAAGTAAGTATATGTGCTTTATATTGCACGGGTTGATGAATTATAACATATAAATATTTTGTACAACTTCTTTACAGAAATTGACGAATGTTTGAGCAATCCATGTGTGAACGGCAGCTGCAACGACTTCTTCAACGCCTACAACTGTACCTGTATACCGGGCTATGAGGGACAGAATTGTGACATTGGTGAGTTTGGGACACCCCTAAAGAAAACTAAGCAAGTCTTGCAAAGGCTTCGTTCTACACGACACGTCACTGTTATGACGTTATAACGCACATTGTGAGGCAAAAGATATGACGTCACACTCGTACACAGTCGCCAAATAGCAAACTCGCTGTTGTCCTCAAATCTTGAAATGCATTCTCTTTGTAGATTTCTATCGTGTTTTCTGCACGAAATGTATTGCCACACATCCTTCGAATATTGTAGTTACCGCACATTGGCAGGTTGTAGGCTATATTTGTACATATAAATAATATACATATGCCTACCGACAATGATTGTAAAAGAAGTACTATTTTAAAAATATTAGCTTCCGCGGTGTTGCGTCCGTCAAATCGGCTGTTTCAACCAGAGCGTTTTAATTGTGATTGACCAATAAAAATAGAGTATTCAGCGTTGCGGTGAAGGGAAGATTTCAATTTGGTCTAATTTGATTTGATTTAATCTTGAGACTTCTTTTCCGGAACCCTCAACATTCACAAGACGCCTACTTCTAAAGGTTATACAATGGTTTGAGAAGGTTACATTTAGTAACAATTAATATACATTCTATTTCCATAACCAGTTTTCAGGAAAAGTTTATTATTTATCCCTAGATATCGACGAATGCAGCAGTAACCCCTGTGTGAACGGCAGTTGTGTGAACCAATACAACGCCTTCAACTGTAACTGTGATGCTGGCTTCACTGGGTCACTTTGTGCCGTGGGTGAGGAACTGAAATGCCCTTATTTCCACATAGAACAATATTAAAAGAAAAGTCATCTAAAAATGATATAATGCAAAACTCTTGATAAAAACGTCAAGGCTCTCTTTGACGTTTGAAAATCGGGATCTCTGCAAATAACCTTTCTCGAAACGTGAAAAATTAGTTTTCCAATTTATAGAACATGGATGCTCATTTATTTACTGTCGTACAGTTGGTTATATACTTAATACAACTTCTATAATCTGGCATTAATCGTAGTTAAGGATAGTAGGTTCTCCGGTTCAGAAGTATGTCAGTCTCCAAAGGTTACTGAAAGAACACTGGCGTGTGCATCCTGTGTTGACAGGAAACGTAATGAAAAGTCAGTTCTTGTCACACGCAACAGACCTATACAAATCATATAGTTTGAAACAACTTTTTACTTATTCTTTTCTTTTGTAAAAGACACACACAATTTATCTACTAAGATGTTGTCTGTTGAATACATTGTTGAGAGTTTGACTTTACGCGATATGTCATGTCACATGTCCATGTGAATGGCATTCCTCATTTTGTAAACATTGAAGAAAATTATTGTGAAGCTACGCCGTATATATTATTGCATATTATAGACATCGACGACTGCACTGGGAGCCCATGTCAGAATAATGGCACTTGTCTTGACGCTGTTAACTCCTACACCTGCACGTGTATAGATGGATACGCTGGGACTGATTGCCTCACCGGTAGGTTTTAATTCTTACACGTTTAGTAAACACAATATGTTAGATAGTACACTGGCCTCTCTGAACTGTATATGACAGCCTTGTAGTTGTGCAATTCTACCTCCCTTTCAAGATCTGGATTAGAATTGGTCTTTAGCAACCCAAGCTAGTCTCCCCACGTGAAGATCCGAGTTATAACTTGTCTTCAGCAACTCATGCTTGTCTCCCCACGCGAAGATCCGGGTTAGAATTGGTCTTCAGCAACCCATGCAAGTCTCCCCACGTGAACATCCGGGTTAGAATAAGTCTTCAGCAACCATGCTTGTCTCCCCCTTGAAGTTCCGAGTTATAACTGGTCTTCAGCAACCCATGCAAGTCTCCCTACGTTAAGACCCGGGTTAGAATTTGTCCTGTGCTTAATGGGATCGGGTGGCCTCGCTGACTTGGTTGATGCATGTCATCGTATCCCAGTTGCATTGATCAATGCTCATGACGTCAGTCACTGGATTGTCTGTTCCTGACTCGATTATTTACAGGTCGCCGTCATATAGCTGTAATATTGCTGAATGCAGCGTTATACAACAAACAAAAAAAGAACCAATTCTACCAACTCATAAGTGTATTGATTCAAGTAACGCAATGTCCAATAAATCTTCTTTAATGATTGATGGGTCAGTATGACAATCATGAATGACGACGCATTTGTTTAATTGCAGATATAGATGAATGTGCTGGCACATCGTGTAACCATGGCGTGTGTGTTGATGGTATAAACATGTACACATGCCAGTGTAATGCTGGATATGAGGGAAGCAATTGCAGTACAGGTGAGAGTTAATCATGATGTACATACACAAATATAGACCAACGTTAAATCATTTTGTGGCGAGGATAGTTTCAAGAAATAAACGAGGGTTAACAGCACTCTGTGGGCAGAATTTCAGTTGTGGGACGCACATCTTATACGTTTAACACTGTGGTTTAAACACTTCGCACTCAGAAAAGGTAATAGAGATCAAAGGTTATAATTGGGGTTTCGAGCAATGGATCATTGCACCTTAAATAGTTCATCGCTTTAGAGCACCTGTTTGAATGCATATCGAAGATCATTTTCGTATATAGTAGGGCATGTCGTCACTGTAAATACACATAAACTGACGAGTAAAAGAAAGTAAGCATGTTAAATGTTAGCTAAAAATTAAACAAACAAGAAATGGCTTTTCGATGGTGATGTGTTTGATGTGGCTGTCATAGCTGTGTTTTGGAACTTAAATTTGTAGTGTTTTGGCAACTGTTTTCAGCCGTTTTCAGACTTTTGATAACGTTTGTATTTGTTTGGTCAAATCCAATTTTCAAGCGTATACTTTATTTTGCACCGCATTTCAGTAACACTGCATTGTATACATTCCAGACATTGACGACTGTGCCACCAACCCATGCCTCAACGACGGGAATTGCACAGACGCAGTAAATGGCTACACATGTACTTGTCCTGATGGCATCAACGGAACGAACTGTGAAATAGGTATAAGTCCCTCCATGTTCATTTTAGGTACACTGCATAGCTAGATTTTATTCGTATTTTCTCTCATTATCTACCATGTAAGTTAAGACATGCGTTGATTGTAGTATTTTTATGTGAACATATTATGAGGAGGTGAGGTAAGTGTGTGTGTTCAGAGCTGGATATTACATTTGTAATTGACATATTCTCACTTGTACCTCCGTTTGCTTCCTAGGAGGGGACCCCTGTGCAGCGAATCCCTGCCAGTACAACGGGACCTGCACTCAGGCAGCTTCTGGTTACAACTGCTCCTGTCAGGCTGGTATTACGGGGGTCAACTGTGAGACAGGTACTATTATTCATTTCATTGATTTATTGTCTAAACAATAAGAATCTCCATCTAGAAAGTTCAATGAATGACACTTTAAAGGCTGACCATTTTTAAAAGAAAGCGCTGATATATATGTTTTTCAGGTCATGCAACTTAAGGAGAAAAAGGGTTTGGGAAACATAATGTATTATTTAAATTATATTTGATTATCACTTTATGGAATAATATTTTCACCAACATCGTGTCATTTACGGCTCGGTATATTGCATTAACGTACCGTGTTTGTATTCAGTTCAACATGATCCGGAGTGGTCTTCAGCAACCTATGCTTGCCATAAAATGCGCAATGCTTGTCGTAAGAGGCGACTAACGGGATCGGTTGGTCAGGCTCGCTGACTTGGTTGATGCATGTCATCGATCCCAATTGCGTGGATCGAGGCGCATGAGGTCAATAACTGGATTGTCTGGTCCAGACTCGATTATTTACAGACCGCCGTCATATAGCTGGAATATTGCTTAGTGCGGCGTTAAACAACAATCAAACAAACAAATCAGTTCAACATAACTACAATATGTCATCTGCTTCATTTTAGACATCGATGAATGTGCCTCAAGTCCATGCACAAATGACGGCACCTGCAGTGATCAGATCAACGCATTTGAATGCCTCTGTCCTTCCAACTTCGGAGGCTTGCTCTGCGAGTTGATACTTGAATGCGGATGTCCTTGCTATCTCAATAGTAACTTGTCAGACCAGGATTTAGCGGTGAAAATTGCATGGCTAAAGTCATGGCTACTCCTTGACAAGTCCAAACTGTCCAGCACAATACGGAAAAAGATAAGCGTACCGGATGAAAGGCCCTCTTCAACTGGGATCGGCTTCAGTGGAATAACGTGTCTCATTGCAGCGTTTGGATTTTTCCTTTTTATGGATGGTCTCAGAATCGTTCAATTTCTTACTGCGAAAAAGGTTGCGGCAAAAGATCTTGAAAGCAAGAAAAATACAAAATCAGAATAAGAATGGAACAAATACTCGTAGTGCGTGACGCCGTTTTGAACAGTATTACAGTTATATCACGACGTGTCTGCATAATGTGAGAAGGAAATCCAGAAGTGATGCAGGTCCCAGACCTTTATAATTACCACTTTGGTGAAACACACGAGCACGTGTATGTGTGATGACCTAGAAACATTATGGTGAAAATCGGGATTTGGACCCACGATCATAGATTACTGGCGTATCCAAAGAACGCAACCCTGCAAAGAGAATTGCGGAGCCTCAGACGACTAAGCCACCAGTGGACCCTGGAACAAGGATAAAAGATAAAATGATATGTTATTATGCCGTAGGTTGACAGATAAACCGACATATATCAAGTAATATGCCTTACTTTGAAGGAATCAATTCCATTGGGCTTTGTTGATATGGATTACGAAGAAACGGTTACATTTGATTTTTGTTGTATCCATTCTTCAATAATTGACATGACACGTATGTAATTTGAGAGTACCATATCAGTGACATGTATCTTTTCATTTAAAATTACCATATGCATATCTGTGGTGGCACGTGGTCCTGTGTACCTCTCAGGTCACAAATCAGGTGAAGTTAACTCCTGGGAGTTCCAGGGCTTCGGTCCTGTGACTTTGTTCGAAATATGCCCCTGTTCACCTAGAAGTTAATGGGTACTCTATAGGATAAGATGACAATATGACTGTCAACCCTTAGCGCCTCACGGGCAATTTGCGTTGTATACTCCCCAACGAGTTAATGATTATATTGTAGTATTCATTATTATCTGTGTCCTATTTGCCTCTGATTTAGATCCAATCTTCAATAATTGTTTTGTCTGGCACACCGTACCCTAGAATAATACATCTTATACAAATATTGCTCCTTGCGGATACTATCTGATATCATATCGTTCAACTACACTTGTCATAAGAGGCGACTAACGGGACCGGGTGGTCAGGCTCGCTGACTTGTTTGAGGCATGTCATCGTATCCACATTGCGTGGGTCGATGCTCATGATCAATCAGACTCGATTATTTACAGACCGCCGTCATACAGCTGGAGTATTGCTGAGTGCGGCGTTAAAAAACAAACAAACAAAATCATATTGTTCAATAACCATCAAAGAGACAATTTCCGTCCAGTGAATGTTTTCCACCTGCTCCTCAAGTTACATATCACGAGACTAGTCGCTCTCGTTAGATTGGTTGTAAACTGCGAAGCAAAGCCGATATAAATTTAAACATTAATTGTTTTGGCAACCTATGCATATGTGACTCTGTGTCGACCTTGTTTACGTTTGTCTTAGTTGTTCAGACATACACATATCTGTGAAAAGACTTCTGATGATGGGGCATTGATACACTGCCGGGCAAAAGAAAGTACACACCCATGTTTGACTACAATGAACCAAACAAGAAATGGTTATTCAATGATGATGTATTTGGTGGGGGAATCATAGTTCTGTTTAGGAGTGCAGTGTTTCGGTGACTGTTTTCATCCTTGTAACGTTTTGATACGCGAGGACGTTTTTGGTCGAATCCAAATTTCAAGTGTATGCTTTCTTTTCCTCAATAGATTATGTTGCCACGGCATTTGTCTTGTACTAATTTCTGTACATCACCAGGGGCAGTCGGGTAGCCTAGTGGTTAAAGCGTTCGCTCGTCACGTCGAAGACCCGGGTTCGATTCCCCACATGGGTACAATGTGTGAAGCCCATTTCTGGTGTCCCCCGCCGCGATATTGCTGGAATTTTGCTGAAAGCGGCGTAAAACTATGCCCACTCACTGTACATCACCAACTTTTGTAAATAGTAATTTACATGTATCCCCACAATTAACAATGGTAATTTAATCTAGTACTACACTTTATATACTAATTTTATATGCTATGATTTCCCGAAATATGTGTACAAATGGGGGCAACCAGCGTCAATTTTAATTGCAAAATACCAAATCCGTACGTTCATATAGTATCTGATGAAAGAAATACATACAATGCATACTACTCAAAAGATACTTCATATTTTGTAAAAAGTGATCATGCATATTTGTTATTTTTTTGCCGTACTTGTTTGTATATAGCCTTCACTAAAGACAAAAGTGACTGAAACTTGCCATATCAAATATTGTAAGTAGTATATGCAATTATATGTACATACACAATTCATTGAGCATTTGCTTGAATATCAGACTCTTGTCAGAAGCAATAATTGCACGCTATCTTTCAGTAATACGTGTCACACTGGATCAAACAGTAATAAACTTTATAAACCAAAACACCACTTGTAAGTGTACGCTGATTCTAAGTTATTGTACTGCTGTTACATTATCTGCTTCAGATGTGATGTACTTTATTATCTTTCGAGACAAGACGTATATGTTTTGCAGGCATTTACTATCAACATTGTCATCAACAACTCCTTTTCAATAGATCCTCATTGTCTCAGGGGAATTGTACACTGGACAAAAGTTTTCAGAAATGTTTTTTTCATCTACGAGTATGTTACCTGTCGATGTGTTTTATTGTGTAGTTAGATACACATTTACCCCATAACAGAGAGCTTTGTTTTAATAATGCCATGACAGTACCTTGTATCACTTAATTGAAGAGGCCTTGCCTAAACGAGGCTATCACTCATTACCTCACTGTTATATGTTTATATACTCTGCATTGCTATATGTTGCCACAGAGGTTATTCTTTTTTGAGAATACGCTTCTACAAAAGCACTGATGAATAGAACCCTTCATTATCCATTTCCTCCTCAATTGTGCAAAAAAAAAAATATCAGTGATTCATAAAAATATTTCTTGCTGATAATAAATATGCCGATCACATCCGAAGTAGTAGCCATAATTGGCGAATTCAGATGGAAAGCATGTTTAGAAATTTAAGGAAATCGATTCTGAATAAGATCTGTGCACGACATGACATGAATGTAATTTGAGAGTACCATATCAGTTACATGTATCTTTTCATTTAAAATTACCATATGCATATCTGTGATGGCACGTGGTCCTGTGTACCTCACCTGGGAGTTCTAGGGCTTCGGTCCTGCCCAACCCTGAAGCACATGAAGCACATGTTGCAGGTGACTTTGTTCGAAATGTGCCCCTGTTCACCCAGAAGTAAATGGGTAACCAGTATGATGAGATGATAAAGTGACTGTTTACCCTCAGCGCCTCTCAGGCAACTTGGGTGGTATACTCCCCAGGGAGTTGATAATTATATGGTTGTTATTTATTATTATCGGTATCCTTTTTGCCTCTGTCTTCATGTACATTTTCTATTTTCCGTTCGAAAGTAGAACACAATTATATTTTCATTAAAGCAATATATATATTTGGCAGCTACATTCTACGATGGTATTTTTTTCCTCTGGATAAGGCATGAATGGAATTCTCCAGCTACATGCGATTCTGTGGAAGCAAACAAAATGGGAATGTCAGCTCTATGGACATGAGATCGTTACAGAATATACTATTACACGTGTTGTTAATGCTTCATTTCTACATCTATACACACAACTGTGAAACGGTGTTTAGTCTTTCTCAATGAGACTCTAGGCGTCCACCTGCATCTGCACAGAAACACGAACTGTGAACTCATTGGTTTTGTGATATGTACTCCCAAGTACGGTGGCCCATAAGGGACATGGAGGCTGTTTTTCAATATTTTGATGTTTAACTTACTTTTACCCTAACCTTTTGCAAATTAACAAAATCTGCCATACAAATATGTGATAAATCATGTATAAAAACATCCGAAAACATAGAAAATGTACTTTTAAGTAGCTTCTGAGACGCTGAAATGTGAAGTGAAAATGTCAAAAACTAAAATGGAAATGTCAAAAACCAAAACGAAAATGTCAAAAACTAAAATGAAAATGTCAAAAACACAAAACGAAAATGTCAAAAACTAAAATGAATACACAGAAAACTATTTCCACCGCGGTGTAAATATTATCACCGCGGTGGAAATAGTTTTCTGTATTTTCATTTTAGTTTTTGACATTTTCGTTTTGTGTTTTTGACATTTTCATTTTAGTTTTTGACATTTTCGTTTCGTTTTTCAGCGATTCAATATCTTCTTTACACATGATTTATCACATATTTGTAAGACAAATCGTGTTAATTTGCAAAGGTTACGATAAATGTAAGTGAAATATCAAAATATGGAAAAACAGACTCCATGTCCCTTATGGGCCACCGTACCCAAGAGAGGAAGAGATTCATCAAAAGGTCATAATGAAATGCTGATATCAACTGCAGGAATATTTCATAGGATTTGCAGGACGCTTCATTCACATTATAAATCGATTGCACGTGACAACACTTCAAGATTGGCACTTTTCCAAGTTGCGTCCGCTTACAAAACGCTCGGTTTGATGGTTGTAAGTGCAAATGGATAACTGCTTTAGAAATCTGCTATGATTTCGTACCTGCAATGGCGTACCATAATTGACTTTATAAAGTGCTACGGCACCACACAATGAGGTTACACAGTGCAGTGCCGTGCAGGCCTTTTGTGTCGTATGGGTTTTTACAAAGCGGCAACTGGCCAATCAGGTACTGAGATCCAATATATATATATATGGCATTTAGACATCGACATCGACATTCTATGGGGGTCCATGTTATGATACAAAAATATTTGATAACAAACACTGCTTGCTTATCTGATTCTTATGCATACGACTCATAATTTCTGCTCTTATTGGCAAAATCAAAAGAAGGGGATTGGGACAAGTTTTTAACTTAAGCTTCGGGGATAGGGTTTAAGCTTCGGGTATAGGGTTGATCCGATATCGTTCAATGATGGTCAAATAGCTAATTCCCTTCCAGTGATTTACCGCCTTTATATTGCGGGAATATTGCTAAAAGCGGCATAACACCTCACTCACTCACTCCACTGTCTGAGCTAGAAATAAAGAAAACCAGTTAAACCGCCTCATCTGTTTCATATCTAGGTCGCGATGACTTGAAGTTTTGAGTAGCCACCTTTCCCTTTATGTTGACTAATATATTTCAGCAGCTCGTTCCTTTGTTATCCATTGGTATTTCACAACTTTTGAGGTACACTCGTGCATGTTCTGTCTGTGCAGATTTCATCGAGCGCGAAAGTAATCTTGCTGAAAAGTTAATTATCAGGGTTAGAATATTCAAGTCCTTAGTAAAACTTTACAATAAATACAAAAATCATGTCTGATGATTTAGGATATGATGACTGATGTAATTTAATGGGAATCGCTTCAGTACAATAAAACGTCACATGAATAGCGTGTATGACCACCCTCTGCAACAAGACACGCAAAAACTCCCCGGCACACAGAAAAGGTCAGTCGTCATGTGGGATACGTCGCCATGCTTCTTGGAAGGTCTGGATCGGTTCTTGTCGTTTGGCGGAGGTGTTGGGGGGGGGGGGGGGGGGGGGATCCATGATCCATTGACATCCCAGAGTTGTTGGGGGTGGCGGCATGTCTGGGAAATCACGACATCACGTTGACGTTGTGTACGATTCAGGCTGTATGGGGTCTGGCGTCGTCCTGATGATAAATGACACCGCGAGACAGCTGTAAGTTGTAGAAAAGGTAGAACAATGGTTTATTTCCGTTAACGATGACCAGTGGTGTCCTATCCTGCTCACAAATTCCTCCCCACACCATAACATCCCTTCCACCATACGACACCTACTCCTGAACGCAACATGACGCTGTTCGTTTTCACCTTCGGTGGTCAACACGCTGTCTTCCATCATCTCACAGAAAGAACCGGCTTTCATTAGTGAAGAAGACCCTGTTCCAGTCACGTCCAACGACGTCCGGACCGGGCCCATTTCTTTCTCTCTGCGCTTTCAATAACTGTCCTCTGTAAGGTTTTGTGGTATTTCTGGGATGGGTTTTTCACCAGTGTGGGTGTCTGACATGACGTCCGTATTGCACGTGTAGTTTCGGCTACCCAAGTGGCACATCTTTTTCACTTTTTCGCATTCCTTACAAAAAAGGAACCACAATCACAATCTGCATAGAGCATTGTTATGTGTGGACGATGTGTTTTGCATTGTTTTAGCTTGAACTTGTGTTGTTGTTTTTTTTATCCAATTTCAATTTTAAAGTGGTAAAGTTTCTTTTGACCAGCAGGTGTGTATGAATCAATATATACCTTCTATACCAGAGAAGGTGAGCGTATCCCGCCTGGGGCAAACAGATGCAAAGGCATTTATATGGAGTAAAATATGGACGGAGCTTTTGTTTTAAACAATATTGACTGTTATCCATATTGACAATCTGGTTTTGTTAGCAAAATTATACAAATCAGATTAATTGCAAAAGGAACTGTTGATATAAGTAACATTTTAAATCAATTCTAGGATTTATCAGTGGTAGATTATAGAAAGCTATTTGTTTGATATGAATGCTGCAATAAGAGCACCATCGTTGTACAGTGGATAGAGCGTCTCCTGTTAGAGCAGACAAAAATCGATGGTTGTCTTCTGGCCGCACCGGGCGGTGGGGTAGCCTGGTGGTTAAAGCGTTCGCTCATCACGCCGAAGACCCGGGTTCGACTCCTCTCATGGGTACAATGTTGAAGCCCATTTCTGGTTCCCCTGCCGTTATATTGCTGGGATTTTGCTCACTCACTCACTCAGGCCGCGTTCAACCCAAAGAAGTTAAAATATTGGTTACTGTGTGCCTCAAGGTCGGCATCAAGGGGATAAAACAATGGCTGATAATAAAAACGGTCATGCAAACATGCATGAAAGTGGCAAGTGCAATAAATTGAAACGCAACACCTCGCCTCATTTGCAAAGGTTCAGGACTTCTCGTTGGAAATACCACCAAAACTGAGTGGAAAACGATTACATGTAGATTGCATGCAATATAATGGTCGGGTCGCAATCGAAATAACAGGTGCAAGTCGATAATTTAACTTAGACGTTGTTACGCCCGATAGATTTCAGGATAATCGCAAATATTGATTAAGTTATATTTTCCAATAGGTATACGCTCACCTGATCGTATTTCAAATTACCATTTCGATTTAGGATTTCATCGTACAGCTGACTCTCCTGTTCTAGCATACTTATTTCATGGCGCACATACATTTGAATGAATGGCACTGTACGCACCTCAGCTAGCCATAATGTAACGACAGCGCCAGATAAAAAGCCCAATAGCGGTACAAATGGTATGGATGGATCACTGAAAATAAGTGATGGGACCAGGTGTTCTTAAGGGTAAGCAAGTCCCTCGGTACCGGTTGCGCCCGCCCCTCACAGAATTGTGTTTGTTCGTTGCATGACTCAACAAATGTTTGTATATATAAATTCAGGCATCACCAAGGTGCCGTCGTCAATGTTTTTAATGTAAAATGTGTCTATTATTGCAATAAACCAGTCCCGATTGCACTTCGTTTATCGGCACAACACAATGTAATCAATACATACCTTTGCATAATGTTCACGTTTTCTCCCTGTTCAATATCTTATAGTGCGTTCTTTGTCCTGCACAGTGAATTTAAGCGACGATGAGACATACTGTTGTAGGACTTCGTAGTATTCATCAACTAAATATTTAACTTTATCTTCTCGTTTCATTCTGATTTCTGTTCCAGTGTTGTTTATACTGTCATGTGAAAGGGTTCGTAAAAACACGTAAAATATTTACAAAAAACATATCACATATTACAATGACATAGGGGTAGATTGGTTCCCTGTCCTGGTAACAACCGTATGCACAGGAGAAGCAAGTGATGTTGCGTCCTGTCTGTGTTAGCAAGGATCCACCCAATGTAATAACCTGGCGTCAATGTTTACTTTATTGACTATATTCCTGAAGCAAGTTTAATATTTCAGTAATGACATTTGGAGAAAACGACGTGACTAAATCGCGTGTTTCGTTTTTGTTTTTGGTTTATAAGCATCCAAAATGAGACTACCGGTTCTTCAAAATTAAACTGATCACATTATCTCCCGGCCTTCCGACCAGGGATATTAAGTGAGTGAGTGAGTGAGTTAAATTTTACATCGCATCGGCAATATTTCAGCCATATAGCGATGGGAACTAGGTATTAAATCTAAAAGATCTGTCGACAAAGGACAGTAAAATAGTAAGGTATATCACCGTTTTTAATAAAACAAACTAGATCATAATTTCTTTTAAAATACATATAGCAATAATAGATTAAGTCCTATCAATTAATACAAGGCTATAGACAACTAATAACCAAAGTTAGACCACCTTACTGGAGATCATGGGGACTTACAGTACCTAAGCTTCCTGCATGACTCCCCAGCAGGATTTATGCCATCACTTTGGCTACGAGTGGCTATACTGTATCCTAGCCAATATT